CGACCGGACGTAACGTCCGTTCGCCAGTCAACGACGACAACGACAACGGCGATGACGACAGAGACGAAGACGCCGAGCATTGTCGAAGCGGGAAAACGTCTCGCGTTGCGTCTCCCATCGTCGTTGCCGTCCTCGAGAAGGCGTGATGCAACCCCTACAATCGATCCGTTTTCTCCCCTCTCGATGTGTGCACCGCACGGCGGGACGCGTCGCACCCGCAGTCGAGTGAGCGGGACGAGCATAATGCTCGGGACAATACGGCGCGACGATGGTGGACGAAGGGTGGATGGCTTCGACGCGGAGGTCCCGCGGAGGAGAAGGGAGATGGAGAAAGACGACGGGAAAGAACGATCGCTCGTAAATTTCGGTCTAGGGTTCACGGGCCAGTCAAGGTCGCGCGACTCTTGTCGTATATAATTGTAGCGAGAGATAAGAGGGGAAGAGAAAGAGACGCGCGATCCGCAGAGATGCGATTGTATACAGGGTGTTTCAGACCATCCGTCCACCCCTTTTATTTTGAAAAGGGATGGTGCTAGGAAGTTGGGACAAGCATGTTTACTATAAAAGCCTATCTGAAGTTTCTGATGATGGTACTTTTATTTTTGGGAAATCCCCGGAAATACCGGAAACCGAGGGCAATTTAAAAATTTTAAATGGGAATATGTGGCAACATGGGTATCGGGTTTTCAGTATTTCCGTGGGTTTCTTAAAAATGAAAGTACCATCACCAGAAACTTCAGATAGACTTTTATGATAAACATGTTTGTCCCAACTTCCTAGCACCATCTCTTTTCAAAATAAAAGGGGTGGACTGATGGTCTGAAACACCCTGTATATACGGACACAGAATCGAATCGCGCTCGGTCTAAAGGAATTCAAGTCCCTCGTGAGTAACAAAAGAATGTTGACTTTGTTTTTATCCAGATGTAATCTCGTATCAATCACACTTCATTCTGTCGCGCTTGTAGAACTTATCTTGGAAGACAGCCATTAAGCTGAAGAATAAAGAAAACGACGTGAATGCTCTCACAAGTATCTATACAGCGTGATGTACTTACGTTCTGAGTGGGTAACAGTGTTGTTTGGATACCCTGTGAAAGATAAACCATCCGCTGTAAATTAGATTTCCCACAACTTTGTCGTCTATTCGTTACTCAGATGCCTAAATTCGATTTAAAACCTTTTATAGCTTGCATATATAATGTAATCATATGCAGAGAAGATAGCCTGAAAATGAGAGTACGGAGTGCGGAGACTGTAGTATTTTATATAAATATCTGATAATATATAAAAATTACTGTTTATTCTCCTTTCTCTTCATTTTTCTTATTTTTTATATATTTGCTAAAAAGAGCTCTATATATATTTCTCAGAAAAAATAAGGAAAACAAATATAACAAAAAGGTTTACGATAAATGTTTGAAACCGCAACTCTAAAAAGAATAAACTCGAATAGGAAACAGTGGAAAGAGGAGATATATAATGCCTGATATATATTTCGAAGCTTAAAAGCTAGGCAAGGTCACTACGCGATTGTTCAGTTCGCAAGTGCAACGGAAACATGCTAAGTGCGAGCTTTTAGATGCAATTGAACGAGAGTTGTGTCGTAACCTGGAAGCTGGACTTACGTAAAGTTTTAAAGTATTTGTAACAAAAGTTCTATAGCGCGGGATTCTTGGTATGTAGCTTTTGATCGACGAGCATAAAGTTATATAACGTAATGAGATTCTCTTTTATAACTATTTGATAATGCACAAATAAAATAATACAAATAATATACACGTATTTAACTTTGGTTAATAGCTGGTTACAAGTCTTTTAGAAACCAAATTGATTAATTTTATTATTTATAAATTTCGTAATTTTAGGTACTAGAGTATTAATTACACAGGTCGACAAAAAAAAATTTTTGTCAGGTAACTCTATAATCAGAGTAGATGTTTCTTATAGATTTTCGGTCATAAAAAACAATACCGCTGTCCAAACTGCTACATCACGTCACGTTTTAAAGTCATTTTGAATTTTAAGATATGAAATCAGCGATTTCTCATTTCTCATTTGATCACGTGATGGAGCAATTTGGACAGCGGCATTGTTTTTTGTAGCCGAGAGTCTATAAGAAACACTCTGATTAGAATTATTGGACAAAATTTTTTTTTTTGTTGGCCTGTGTTATTTATTCTATAGTATTAAAATCAAAAGAATTACAAAACGTAAAGTTGATCAATTTGGCTTCTGAAAGGCTCGTATTGTATCAATAAAAATATGTTTGCTAAAAGCATATATTTCTTTAAACTTATTTTTTATCGAAGAAGATCTTGTACAAATAAATAATCAATAAGAGACTTGTGATGGGTAACCGTGAGTTTAAAAAAAAAAACCAAATTTTATAGAGAGAAGGAGAAAGAGAGGTCCTAGTTCCTATGTTACTAATTTAATTTTGACAAGTGAAAATTATATATTGTTTTACTAAAAAAATAATTTTTTTCTCTTCCTAGAAAAATTAATTCTATCGTTGCTGGAAAACTTCACATCTCGAACTTTCCCCTATTCTTTTTCATAAAATATATGAACACAGCTTTACGGAGCACAGCGTTTATGGCTTGCAAGAATGAAGGTATCTTTTTTTAAAGTTACACGAACAAAGTACACAAATTTCGTTCGGATCCCAATACTAAATTACAAGACCTTTCCCGCGTGCAAATGATTTTATTTTTAAACAGTATTAAATATTTTATTTAAAAATACGTGAAAGTTTTTTAAAGACTTCTGAAGAATAGAAATTCTGGTTCTCCCTTATTGTAACTGTGCTTGATTTTATGGATATTGCAAAGTTAAAAATAAAATATCGTGTAAATTTTTTTGGTAATGTACAACGAAATAAATTAATCTTTTTGCGTTCAATAGAACATAAATTAGTAAAATATGTTTAAAGCGCGCGCGCGAAAATAGTTCTTATGACAATTTATAAAAAAGTTTACAGCATCTATATTAATTCACAAATGAGAGAGAGGCGGGGAGAGAGAGAGAGAGAGAGAGAGAGAGAGACGATACATTTCATAAATTTAGTCTAAGAAATTATGGCATGTAAAAGGAAAATCATTAATTTTAATATATGGATCAAAAGTTTACACGCAGTTTGCCGCTTTAATATAATTTAATATGGGGCTGCAGTCAAGGACTGTAAAAGAAAATCTTAAATAATTTATATAGTTAATAAAATAATATTATTATTTTATATATAGGTATCTAACAATGAATTATGAAATTAAAGAGGCACTGTCGTTACCTGTTTGCGATAAAGCTGTAAACCATCTCGCGCAATCTCGGTATGTTAGCACGGAAAGCAGACCGAATGGCAGATTCGCAGTTACTCTGCATACTGAGGACTAAAAATTCCGCAGGTCCTGCGTTTATACTTTGCGGACACGCGCGTGGGTGATTGTCCCTATTGGGGGTATCTCTGTGTTTGTCCAATTAAGGGCCATCCCTTGCTGCCATGACAATCGTAGACAATTTCCGCAATCTGTAAGCCGACCTTATTTTCTCTTTCCGGCCTTATCGCACCACAGAGAGATGCGTTGATATCTCGTGGTATACTCCCGTCATTCTCTCCCGACTTGCTCTCCCGTGTCTCTATGTCACGTGTGACACGTGCACACGGGGAATATTAAGATCTCCTCGGGGGCCTCCACGTGATTTGGCTAATAGCCAATTTTGTCTCGTCGCTCGCGGGTTATTTGTTCGTAAGGTTAAACTACCTACTGTCTATACGACAAAAACGCCCGCTTTTACTCTATGAATTCATATCCTTGTCCCTTATTTCATTTTATTTTTTTATACTGGCGTAACAAGAGAAGAAACTACTAAGTTGATTCAAAATATTATTTGTTTTCTACATCTTCTTTTGGTGTAGTAAATAATTTGTACATTAATATCGTTCTTCTCTTTATAATTTTTATAGTCTTTAAATTAAAAACAAAAAATAATAGAAATAATTTTACAATAAATATTAATTTAATTTCAAATAAATTTGATTTCATTAAAATTTTCCAATGTTTTCTTTAAAGATTGTATGTACTTTGAAGACAAATTATTCTGGTAAACAATATTATGAATCAGAAAGGTGCATCTAATTAAAAATGTATGATACTAATTAGTTGTTTATTATTGTTTCATATTTATATTTTTTGACCTAGATTTCCAAGAGAATTTTAAGCCAGTGTTACCCTAGTTTTTTTATGATAATTATCAATCTTTAACAAATTATTATTACATGTTCGCGTTTCTCTTGGCATCTCCATTGGCGACTATCCATCTTCATTGCTATTATTTATCCTCTACTAATATAAGTAAGCGTTAAAAATTGTACCAGAGCAATATCTATCTGATAAAAGCTTTCACGCGGGATTTATAGTATCTTGTAACATCTATCCTGGATTGCTGACGGAATTGATTCCAATTCACACGAAAGTGTATGAAGGGGACGTGTAATTGGAGGTTTCGCTGGCGAGATCCTCGGATTCCATTTCGATATAACGCGGATTACGTGTTTTACCGCAGCATGATCGGTGTGCCCGATGCTTGTATCCTGCCTGCCAGAAATCGAAGTGTAAGATATCTTCGAGACACGGAGATATCTACGACTCGAAGATATCCTGAAACGAATTTCATCCGACCATCGGCATCATAAATCCGCGAGAGAAATTTCACCTCCGAGCAATCTTGTAAATTCGCAAAATCGTAAAATAATTCTTTGCTTTGGACCTTGGCAGTAACTTTGAAAGGGGTCCAGCGTTTTAAGCTAAAAATAATTTTCTATATCACTTTTGATCGAATATTTTTGATCGATCCTGAAATAAAATCTAACACGCGCTTTTCCCGAGATTCGAGAAATAATGGTTATATGTTTGTAAGATTAAATGACGTAACTGGATTTTTATTATTGGATTATGAATTTTATTATTGCATCGTGCACATTGAGACTAACCACGACCATATACATTTACATTGTATCACATGTTTGGAATTGTAAACGAATATCAAAGTGTAAATAAATCGAGCGATTCTATACAAAATTAATTTTCTGTCACTTGTTAAATTATTAATATTAAACGAAAGCTTCTTTTAAAAAAAAAAAGAAAAAAATTGTAATCAAGATCGATGGTTAAGATTTCGTAACGTCAGTTCTCTTTTTCTCTTCCTCGTCGTCGGTTTCGTCCTCGTCGACGGATAAATCCGAGCCATTTTCTTCCGTCTTCTTCATGGATTGCTCCTCGTCGGACTGGTTCGATCGTATGGTCTTTGGCTCCCTTTCTATGTCGTCCGTGTGAATATTGCTCTTTCGATCGTTCTCATCCATCTCGTAATCGTCCGCCTCATCCTCGGCAACCTCTTCGGGATTCTGCGGGCTGGAAATCCCTTTGATCGTTTTATCGCGTTTCTAGACTTACACTGTGGCACAGAGTGCAAACACTCTGAGCGATTATGACGCTAGACTCTAATTATTTCGCCTAACAGAGACAATTATGCGGAGGTAAAAATAGTTTCATCGATCGTACGTATTAAAGGAACGTTAATCAAACTTATAAAGATTTCACATTATAGATATTTTATCTTCTGTTTACATTTAACTGATTTTTTAAATTATTCCTATTAATTAATACAATAAATTATTATATTAAGTAATATCGTACTGTTATTCATAAATTTGTTTTATTTCTCTTGGCCATTTGGTTTAACGTAAAGAAAAGTCGAGTAGCAAAACAAGTGTTAAATCAAATTTATTTTCCGCTCTCTTATCGCTCTCACATTTCTCTCGTAATGATTTTTTTTTTTAATTTACGATTTATAGAACTTTACGCTGTCAGGATCTTACTCGCGTTATATTACACGATATATTGAGAACGTTATTATGAGAATTAATACGTAGACTACGGAATATTACGCATGATTACGTCTGAACTATGTCTGACAATTACCTGCTGTATCTACTGCGCACTCTGCTAGGCGACCTGCTCCTACTCCTCCTTCTCCTCCTTCTCCTCCCGCCTCTCCTGCTTCTGCGACCTCTTCTTCTCGAGTCGCTTCTCGATCTTGGACGTCCTGTGCTCCTCCTTCGCCTTCTTCGCCTTCTTCGTCTCCTTCTTTGCTCTTGCACCTGGAGATCCTCGAGCTTGGTTGGGGTGTCGCGCTCCTTAGACAGAGCCCTGTCGCATGTATTAATTCTGTTCGTCCGCGGATCGCTTTTCATCAAATCCGAGGATACGCGTAGAACTTTATACGTGGAGTCAGAAGGAATGAGATAGCCGGACTCGACAGCAAAGTCTAATGCCTTTTTAATGTACTTTCTTGCCTTTTTCGAGCCTGTCAAAAGAAACTTGTAAAATTTATTTGAAACAGAAACTTTTTCTAAACAAGTAGCTGTTTTCATGTATCATATTTTTCTCTTTTTTTTTAGAATGCAAATACTTTGATGTCTAGATAGATAGTAGATATAAAATTATGTTATTGGTAAAAGATATGTATGTTATTCGTATTAGCTGTGATACATATTGTCACGTATTGAATTTTATTTAAAATTCTATGCATAGCACGCACATATTTAAAATATTGTATCGTAATTGTAGGATATTTTGTAGAATAATAAATAGTAATTCATAATAAATAGTTTTCTTTTATATATTTTGATCATCGATATTATGCAGAAGCAAAGGGAGAGGCGAAGGAGGTGAAGGAGGAAGAGGAGCAGAGTGAAGTGTTTAGTAATTACAGTAGATAATTGTCAGACGTAGTTCATACGTAATTGGTGTAGTCTGCATATTAATTCATTAATAACGTTCTCAATATCGATGATCAAATACTCAATATTATAATTTAAGTCGCATATTTGTGCAGCAATTGATAACTACTTGATCAATTAATTTCGTACCTTCGCCACCTATACATTTTTGCAAGTACGAAATCGGTAGATCTCTGGAATTAGGTCGCTTGATGCCGCGCGTTTTCGAGATCCTCCCGTTATCCTTGCGCACTCTATAGCCCATGTTCCTGCCGGCGATTCCCGAAGTATCCGCGGAATCTACGACTTCGTCGTGGTACGCGTTCTCTTGGTTGTAGCAGCGACACTTGGTTGAGAGAGCACGTTCCGTGTCGTCGACAAGGAACTTGTATATTAACTCGGGAATGTTCGGCTTGTGGCGACGGGGTTCTGTACAGAAATTACATTAGGTTGAGTCGATATTTACCTTTATACAAAGAATCTTAAATTTGCATTGTTTAGGATTATATCGAGAGGCTGTGAAAAATTAAGAGAAATATACTGACGCACTCTATTAATGATGATTAATGCTGATATAGAATATATTATATCAACCAATATCGAAAGTGCGTTTTGAATACAAACAAGTTGTATATTTAATAATCTTGAATACTATGAAATAATACAAATTAATTCGTAGCAGATATAATTCTGGTTTTACGGATAAAAAGGGAGTTTAGATAATACTAGTTTAATGAAGCAAATTGGTTTGCAGCATAAATATAATAATAATACTGTAAAACATTTATGATTGATTAGTATATATATATATTGGTAAGCGTAACAAATAAAAAAGAAATTTAGAAAGAATGGAATTTTGCCCATATTATATTACCAATTAAAATTTAAATAAAGTCTGTTGCGTGTTAGATTAACAAATATATAGAAATGTTAAAAGAGAGAAAAAAAACAATCAAAAAAATTTTTTTTAGTGCGTCAAAATAATCACTCACTCATTCTTTGGTGGCTTTGCGTATTTCGATGTCTTTTTATGCGAGCCATTTTGTGCTTACTGTTGGTTTCGATATCTCCTTGATTTTTAGATGGCGTGAAAAATTTGCTTCCCGATTCTTGAGCACATCTACCTCGATTTTTCGAATTTTCTGGATAATTAGTCGGTCGTGGTGTGGAATTTCATTTGCAAATTTCCGAGACATTGAAGATTTAAAAGGAAGTATCAACCGACGGCGTTTTTCGTCGGCGCTTTCCTCTTCTCTTGTCTTTTCCTTTTTTTCTTTGTTTAACAATACAAAGTCATTTGCGATTATCGTTCGACCAATCGATTTATCACTGAATTTTTTAATAGTGCAATCAAATAGTAAATACAGTGACTCCTTGACTCCAATCAGTCAAAAAATTTTTTTGCGTTTTATGCATTTGCGTTTTAATTATAAATTGGGTTCGATTGCAATAGGTTTAATTTTATTAAGACCCGAAATTGTGCATAGATTCGTAACGAGAGAGAGAGAGAGAGAGAGAGAGAGAGAGAGAGAGAGAGAGAGAGAGAGAT